GCTCTGTAAAAATGTATCCGTCTGACTTAGAAAAACTTTGTTGATGATATTTGATTTTTTTTCAAATTTCCCCAAACCACCTCTATAACGGATCTCATCAATTCAATAAGGATAAAACTTGTGTCAAGTTTCCCAATGTTAATATTGCATTGCGCATATACCTTTCGATATTGGGTTCGAATGCAGAAGGAAAGATCATTCTCCAAGTTGAAGCTCTAAAAATTTTATGCGTTCAACTATGGACAAGAGAACTTCGTCACTGGGCCTCTGTGTATTGAAGATGTCGCTCGCGGCTTATTTTGAAGATATAATACACGAATTCGCTGTGTCAAAATCCCGAAAAAAAAAGTTATTTTAGATCTACTTAGTAACCAAACGTTTTGTATTCGTTTTTTTGTGTATTGTATTTACATATATTATTTTGACCTTCCTATATAATAATTCAAATGTTTATTTTTTGGGGTATTTTTATTTCTATTTTTTTTCAACCCTAAACCTTGCCTTCGTAGGCCCTAGGCACGTGCCTACTGTGCTAATTGGTAATCTGGCCCTGGGCACGTAAACAGAGAAATATTGAGTTTAACAGTAATAATAATAATGAGATTAAAATTTTCATCAGAAACCCTGAACATTACAGGCAAACTATTACTTATTTAAAAGACGCAACAGTGGAACACCACTCTTTCACATTTCCTGAGGATAAAGACATGAAAGTAGTGATAAGAGGTCTGTTAAAGAGATACAGATACGGTGGAAATACAAGAGGAATTAGAGGATTTAGGATACAAAGTTCAATCAATTAAGCAACTTACGCACAGAAGAAAAGGGGAGGTAATTAAACTCCCGCTATTTTTAATTACTCTGCCTAAGAAACCCGAATCCAAGGATATACACAACGAAACTCACTTATGTGACAAAGGAATGAAAGTCGAAAATTATAAAGGTAGATCGGGCACGCTACAATGCTATAGGTGCCAAGGATTTCATCATACGCAAACTGGCTGTAACTATGCACCCAAGTGCGTGAGATGCGGAGAGGGACATTTGTCCTTTGAATGCCCTAATAAAAACTCTGACTTGCCACCATGTTGTGCGAACTGTAAACATCTCACACCTCGAACTTTAGGGGTTGTGAGATGTTCCCTAAAAAGAAACAGGATAAACAAAACTATATAGTAGGGTATAGAAAAACATTGCACAACACTGTCTGCTGGTTTTAGCAGACAATCAAGAAGCAAACTGTTTTGCACCCTGGCCGAACTCGTTCGGTCATAAAGAGCTCCTGCTTTAATCAACTAGGACAAAATGTTTTAGTAAAATACAAAATCCCCATGTTGTCGCCATCTGTGAAAAATATGTATATTGTGTTCTAACGATGACGCTGAGTTGTTTAAAGCGCACCTTCGGCCACTTGTTTGAGTGTGTTCTACCCACCGAAGATGGAACTAACTATGCGGCTTTTGTGTATTAATATATACAGTCCATTTTTGAGTTTTTGTTAAGTGATTTATAATTATGAGTTTACTGAGCTATGACGGGGCCCATTGTTGGTCCTGACCCAGCCGGAGTTCGAATGTAGTCCAAAGTCGAAGAATCTGAAAAACTTGTGGATTACTCTAATAGAGGTATTGGCCCTTAATTGGTAATACTGGTGATTTAAAAGTCGATGCAAATGTTTAAAATGCAAAAAGGAATATTATAGCGTCTTCTGAGAGCTGATTTTAACATTTCATAAGCACAATTATCAATTTAATTGGTATAATCAAAAACTGAGAATTCAATAACTGTGGTTTTTCAAGTCGATTCAATGTTTAAAGGCAAAAAGGAAAGTAGAGGTCTTGCTGAGAGCTGAATTTTAGACCTTTCAGAAGCAAAACTATATCAGATTTAATTGTATATCAAAACAGTGAAAGTATAAAAACCCTGTATTAGTTGAGATAAATAATATTATCGACGAAAGAAAAGTGACGAGAGCCGATTTCTCGAACTTGAGAATTGAATCGAACTAGAACTCGCGAAGTTGCGAACAGAATCAAAGAGAAACCTCATAGAATATGAGAAACATGGGAATCTCTTGACTCTCTTATTAAAAGTATACGCACATTAACAACTAAAATTCCAATTAGACCGGAAGGTTGGGGTTATTTCATCTTTAGAAAGGGCGTTCATTTCTGAATAAATCTGAAACTTTTCTAAATTTGTTGGGAGAAAAAGCCACAAATGTATAATACATAAAAGACGATGAATTAGGAGATTATTTGAAGATTAAAGAAATAGTGCTAAGAGAATTCGAACCAACGCCCCAAATTTGTTTAGAAAATTTTAGGAAGACGCAACGAATGACGAATGAAACTTATGTGCGGTTCGCGTCTAGATTAAGTACGAGTTGAGATTATTATTCGACACTGAAAGGTAAATGACTTTGAAACATTAAAACAATTAATGGTTTCTGATAAAAAATGTCAAACACTCGATAAAGAGGTTATGTGTTTTATAAATGTAAAGGAAATTCTTGGTTTAAACCTGTAGAATTGGCGAAGGAGATACATTTATATTATACATCAAAGGGAACACCTGTAGTGGATAATTCTAGGATGAGTAATAAAAACAGTTATCCTAAAAACATGTCAAAGATTTATATTATATATCAAAGGAAAAACCTGTAGTGGATAATTCTAGGTTGAGTAATAAAAACCTAAAAATATGTCAAAGGTTTTTCTAACTGAGGTAAAAAATTCGAAATGTATTTTATCATGCCATGAAATTCATCCTTTGTACAAATGCCCTGTTTATAAAAACATGAAGTCCGGATAAGTTGGGCTGTGAAATCGAAACACTATGTCAACTGTTAGGAAACATAAGGTGATTATTGCAGCAATAAATTCTCTTGCGGCATTTGTAAAATGAAACATCACGACTCTTCATTTCCCTCGCGAACAAAAAATAAACAAGACAGTTGCGCGGTGTGAGTCATGAAAAAAATATTCTTCGATTCGACGCTCGGCTCCATCATTTGAACCTCTGCAAGCTACTTAATTTTATCTCACACCATGCAAGCTTGCGAATGACTTAAACTGGTCTTAACATCACTTTGTTTGTTATTAAAGATGCTCGGGTGACTTTTGTAAGGTTAGCGGTTTGTTATATGTCAGCGTTATTTCAATTTATGACAAAAGGTTAGCTACATTGCTTTAATTAAAGGGGAAATAGACTAACTTTCTTTATTCAGGAATAAATACTTTTTCTTGAATATAAAATCTAGAGTTCAGTGCAACTATTTACATGAGACAGAGTTTTCGATTTGTTAAATGTTTTGGGTGGTTTCTAATAACAAATACGCCCTCTAGGCTCTTGAAATTTAATTTTTCATCTTAGACTACATCATTTAGCATGACCAACTTTTTTGAGCTAGCCCATGCATGTCTGATAGGTGCAGACATGTCTATTATATTTTAAAACATGGTCAAATTTTCCTTCAGGATTCAATTTAAAGATTACAATGTGTTTTCGGCTAGTGTAAGTGGGCTCTTCCTGTCTAAAGGGAAAGTACATTGCATTGGGCTTATTACAGATATTTGGAGTTAGAAAGAGCAGGACAGAGTTTGGTAAATCAAAACGTAGAAAAGATCTGATATTTCTCAAAGTACAGAAGCAGAAATTTGTGAACAGCATTTCTCAAAAACTATTCTAGGACTGAACGGAAAATAGTAGTCAATATACCGTTTTAATGACGATCCATGTGTTTCGGGATTCTAAAAAGCCGCTTAGAACTCTCTTTAAGTAGGATAAAAATTACTTATATTGCACTCTAATTCTCTACTAATAAGTGAACTAGGTCACATGACTGAATGAAAGATGAAGATGACAAAAGGGGAAATATTATATGCCACCCTGGGAATTTCATCGCCCTGTGAGAAAGTTCGACCCTTTGAAGTAGTGTTCAATGCTTCGAACGGCACGTCAAAAGGTACTTCGCTAATTCATTCAGTATAATGGTGGTGTAATTCAAGAGACTTGTTTTACAATTATGGTACTTTCCGAAACAATTTGCTTTTACAGCATATATCGAAAGATTTATCAAATGATATCGATTCATCCTACTCACGGCCTCCGAGAATTTGGTGAAAGAAGTCAATTATGGTTGCCTCTACAACTTTTGAGTTGAAGACGGTCACCTATGGCACAGTTAGAGTGCAACCTTTTTTAAGTCCATGAGAACAATTACGTCAGCTTGCTATAATGATTAAACAACTTTTCCCTTACAGCTGCAGGTTCTCCAGAGTGATTTTTACATGATGTGTGCTACAGGGTCCATTCACATCGATTCGCGGCAAAAGAGCTACGGCATGATTAAATTGATATTTTAAAAGTGCAACTATGACTCGCACAAATGGTGCAGCAAGAATTGGAGTTGCAGTTTTAACGTGATGTGATACCACATTTCATGCGCGGGTGAAGTTTCAGCCCTTTTGTTTTCCTTGAAAGCATTAAGATTGTTTCAATTTTAAAGTGAAACTAGAAAATGATGGTTGAAATTACTAAAAGACATTTGTTACACTAGCTAGAATCTTTGACCACATTTGGGTTTATTGTGTCCCCGTGATAGCTAAAGCTAAAATATTTCTTCAGAGATTATGGGTTTAGAAGCTCAATTGGGACGATCTTCTACCTGAAAAAGAAGCCAGCATTCTTGTCGTAGAAGCAATTGTTATTGAGTTACACGGATTTTGTGACGCCTCTGAGTTAGCTTATGGAGCTGTAGCAAGACTGGATAATGATAATTCTATTTATCTTTTTTTTGTTCTGAAAAATTAAATCACGTTGATTTGGATGAATTTATGAAATATCATCATCTTGATACACGTAATGATAATTTTAGTCACTTGTGCAAAAATCAAACTAGGTCTGACTAGCTAAGCACCAAGATGAAGATGAGCAAGGAGTATATGGTAAATTGTATGGCTTACATCCTAGAATGAATATCTAAATCATGAAACATATTATGTCAGAAATATTTATTTTGCATAGAAATACATATGCAAGTTACAAAGCATTATAAAAAACATAAAAATAAAATATTTAAAAATTACAAACAGATAATAGTAAATTTCATAAAATACATGACAACTCTCATAAAATGACATCACAATATTTTTGACAAAATCGGTACCTGGAAAAGACAAAAATACTATATTCAGACACTTATAAAAATATATCACAACAGGTAAGAAATAAAATTAAAATGAAGCAACTAGTGTAAAAACTAATTTAAAAGCAAGACTGTAAATATAATTAACCTTCTAAGAAGCCAAACTGTATATATATATATATATACACTCTAAAGTATTAGTCATGATAGTTTTACGAACACAGATGAGCATCACAATAAACAATTAAATAAAATTAGACACAGTATTATGCATACTGGAAGGAAAAGTTTTTTAGAGAGTCATTTTAGAATTATAATCCAGAAAATACCACTAACTCCTGGCTATTTTGGTAACTTGGGGTTTGTGTCAAATACTTTGCCACTTGGAGGATTAAGGTTTAGGAAAGCCAAATGTAACACAATGTCTAAGCAGGGCATCTGAATAAGAATGAATGTATATATTGCAAGCCCTTTCCAACTGATTCCAGTTTTCTGTGAAGGTGGTTCCCTTGAAGAGGTAACATTCAACACCAAACCATATGTGCTACGTTCTCAGAAATACTTAAGTTATTTAAATATGACTGTCTTATAGAGTTGCAACAACAAAAGGGTTAAAGGTATTTAGTCATTTAGATAAGGATAAAACACTTATTAGGAATGGGAGATCTGAATCTTTCAAATCAAACTAAATAGTCATTCAGTGTTTTAACTCAAAACTTTGGATATCCAATAAAAGTGTTCGACAATTTAAAAAAATTTTTAGCAGACACCTGTCATGAGACCCTGAGTTCCACAATATTAATTTTCTAGGGGGAAATAAACATTCCATGTTTAGCCTTTATCATGCTAACTCCTGAAAGAATCTTATTTCCTCTACTGCTTTCATTAAAAAATTATTCTGAGAAATTATAAAATAAATGTAATGTTACTCAAATACTTTGTGAAATTATACCGAGAAAATGAATCTTAATATTTGAGACTTATGACCTTCTTTAAATTTTATTTGCATCTTAGCTGAGTACCTAATAGATCTTAAACCTATCCCAGTAATGTAATCTTCCCCTTTTTCTGCCTCTTGGAGGGGGGAAAAATGCTGATTTTTATTATTATATTATATTAATTTACTAACACTTTTTTATTTTAACTAACAGGGCTCTGGTTTGAGCTTTAACACCTGCTCTCTCTGCAAAGTAAACTCTTGCCAAATGCAGATTTGTGGAACATGATTTTGTGTATATGCACTTTCTTAATCATCTGCATTTTAACTTGTCCAAGGTGGGAATTTCAATTATATGCAGTACGCTAAACAGCATCGACCACGTTGTGGTAACATACATTTTACCAAACTTCAAATGTACAGCAAGGTTTACTCTCCTGACAAGAAATCTTTAAGCATATGCACTGCTGATTCACAAGTATGTTCAAAAATAACTATTCCTTTTGAGCCCTCATTTCAGCCATTTTTGTGCATAGAAGTCAATCACTGAGAAGCATCTTCTATGTCTATTGGTCTGGCTCTGTACATGAGAAGACCCATGCATGCATAAGGCAACTGTGCTTGGTGCTGGGCACTAGCTTAATAACCTAGGCTTAAATGCTGGTATTTCACTCATTAAAGCTGTAATCATATATCTACTAAATATTTAGCCTCTTCTCCTTTTGCACTTGTATGCTTTCTAATTTTAAAAGCCAAAATGACTCAAAAGGAAGACTGGAAATAATAATAAGAGAAAAGTTTGGATACCTCAGAGGGGGCATGAATTGAAAAAGGGTACATGTGTGCAAAAGGAACTGGCTAAAAATGAATCAAGTATAACGGGTGATTGAGAGCCGATTAAAAATATCCTGAAAAATACTGTGCAGTAAAAATCCTACATAATTTCAAATAATTCTGAATGTTGTTGTGAAACACACATAATTTCAAACTATTTGAATAGTGAATAAAAAAATACCTATTACTTATTTTAGTTATACTTACATTATACATATACTTATTTTAGTTGGAATTAATTCGTTTCACAATGTCAGTTCACACAGTCGCCCATCTACTTGGTTTCTCAACAATTTTTAAAAATAACCGCTAAGTTAAGCTTGCTTCTATTTTTGGGGGGTGGAGAGTGTACTTTTTCTGGGAATTACTGCATTTATACATACATATATATGTAATAATTTCAAGAGCAAGAAAGGCGAAGGCAGATTAAATCTTCAGTTTTATTTTCAGCTGCACACAAGTCGGCACATTAAATGTGCCTGTTCCAAAAGGCTTACATTTTCGATAACTTTGTAGCAACAGAAAGCAGGACGACAGCAGTGTAGCGGGAGGCAATAAGCCATGGAAATAAAGTGCATCTGTTCAGGATGAATCTCAAGTCAGACTGAGTTAGTTTTGGTTCTCAAAGCATTCTGATTGGATGGTTAATACTGCAGTAAAATTATTATTGCCTGTTAAGAGTTTTAGTTCCGTTTACATCAATCTTTTGAGCATGCGGTATGCATCAACAAATGTTGGGAGATGAGGAAATGTCATAATGAAGAGAATAGTTTGTGAAATATCAAAAAGTATGGCAAGTTGTCCAGTTATGCAATAAATTATTCCTAATACTCTTAACGAGTCACCAGACCCAAAAGCTTCATAAGTAGTTTTGTAGCATAATGACAATAAATATTTTGGTTTGTGATATCAAGCAAATACTGTACAAGGAAGGTTTTATAATTGAAGGAGCATTCAGCAACAGATCCATGGAAGAAAGAACAAATTTAATTAGTTTATACAGTATTGTGTATTTCTGTTTGCTGTCTTCTTTTAGTCTGAATACTTCAGCACGAAACCTTACAAGATCAGTTTTTTCCAAGAAACAGCATTTAATTTTTTATTTTATTATTATTTTTTTTTAATGCAAGACAAAAACAAACCTATTTTGCTCAGATAAGATGTTTGCCCTCTCACTGAACCCTAAATAATACAGAGTGTTTCTAAATGAATATCGAGGTTTTTAATGCTTTGTAGTATTTAGTGCATAAAACTTAAAATCATAATTAATACACAAAATGAAAGAGTAACTCAAACAGTTCTGTTTATGCACATGAGCCAGAAATGGCGAATGCGCGTACAATAGTAGTAAAAATGGCGACTAGTGAACAGAAACATTTTTGTGTTCTGCAGTTTGCAGAGACTGAATTTGTAGTTACTGTGCAATGTGTATTCCGGATGAAGTTCAGATGTGATCCCCCAAGTGATAATAACATTCGCAGATGGTATCATCAGTTTGAAAATACTGGCTGCCTTTGCAAAAGGGAGAGTACAGGATGACCAAGGGTTAGTGAAGAGAGTGTTGAGTTCATAAAAAATCATGTGTGAGGTAGTTCATAAAGGATCATGTGTATGTGCCTCCATTATCAGCTGATCTATACGACCTAAGAAACAGAATTGAGGCAGCTGTTGCAACAATTATACCACAAACACTAATCAACGTTTGGGAAGAACTGGGCTATCGACTTGATGTGTGTTGTGTAATGAAAGGTGCTCACATTAAACACTTGTAAAGATTGTAGGTAAAACTGTTTGAGTTGTTCTTTCATTTCTTGTATAAATAATAATTTTAAGTTTTACATGATAAATATTACAAAGCGCTAAAACCTCAATACTCATTTAAAAACACTCTGTATATTTGTTCTAAAATTAAATTTGAAAAATATTTCGATTTTACAGATTTTTGATCATAGGGTCTCCATTTCTTAAATCAAGTGGCGCAACAACGACTCTTATTGTTGTTGCTACGGAATTATAGACAGATTTGGAGCCTTTAAGTGAAAAGTGGCAAAGGAGTGCTATGAATCTTGTTGAAAAATCTTAAGAAAAGAAATTTTTTAAAAATTACTATAGACTAGCAAGTGAAAGACTAGACTCATAGAGCCTTCCTTTTGACTGTAAATGATCTTTATGATACAGTACAACTCCAATTATCCAAGCTCTGACTATCCGAATTGCAGATTATCCAAATAGCTTTCAGAATTTAAGATTAACATCGAGTGTTACGAAGAAATTTTCATCCCTGAAGTGAAAAGCACCAAAATTCTCTTGGAAAAGAAGGCAGTAAAGTGCTTTTGATTGTTGATAATGCACCAACTGACTCCATCAGAGAATTGCTGGAAAGAGGGAATGGCCAGTTTTCAACATTCTTTTTACCGCCAAACATCACAAGCTTATTGCAACCAATAGACCATATTTTTTATCGAAACCATGAAATGCCATTACAGAAGCCAACTTTTGATGAAACTTTTGGTAGAGAGTGAACACGATGAAGGGGTGGTGGCTAACTGCACAAAAAAATTGATTTGAAAGATTGCGCTTACATGGTGGCAGAAGCTTGAAGCTTGGTTAAGGCAATCACATTAAGACATGCATGGAACAATTTGAAAGGCATATCGACTGAAGAAGAGAAGGAAAAAGAAGCTCAAGAAAAGGAAAGGGAAGATGAGGATGGCGTGCCACTTGAGGAAACAATCTTTTGAAAATTCCTGAATGTTCAGAAGTTATGCTGAGAATACAGCAGAATGGATGGTGTGTGATTCGTCAGACCCTTTATTTCAGATTCTAAATGATGATGAACTTATTGAAAGTGTGAGAGAAGAAAGTGTCAAGGAAGAAGATGACCTTAACGTCAAAGTTGAATAACGTCAAACTTGATGACCTTAACGTCAAAGTTACATGGGACCATCAGCTAGTGAAGCGTTTGGCAGCTTTGAAATTGCATTGAAGTGGATGGAGCGTTAGTGTGAGTATGACCACATGCAACTTCTCATTGTCAAACAGATGTGTGACTTGGCTGCCCGAAAACGGATGAAGACAGTCAAACAGCTTACTTGGGCCGAGACGTACCCAAGCAATGACTTTCAGCACTAGTAAGTACTGTACAGCAATAACATGTGCATAAAAGTGTTGCCTTTACATTTTAATTAATTAAAACCTTTTTTCTTTAAAAATAGTTTTTCCCTTCCATTTTAAACATACAGTAATTAAT